GAGTTCCCACCAAAAAAATGTAAACATCAAGTTTACGATTACATATTTGCAGTCACATTAGAGTGGTCAGACTGCATTATCACATGTTCAGTTGACACTTGCTGTACAATCGGGCTGTTTTTAGGGTAAAATTAGTTATTTGGATTAACACGCGCATGCAACCTTGTAAATAAGTTTGTGGCTTGTAAATAGTTTTTCATTACTCAGCGTAAATGGCTTTTCATTAAAAATTATCCGGCAACGCATCTTAAAATTACCCGGCGACGCTTAGGGCTTGAAAACCCATATATTGGCAATGCTGCATCTACCCTCTGCACCATGGGATTAGTCGTTGGCAACACGGGATTGGATTTCAAACCAATTTCAAACCACGCGCGATTTTGGAAGCACAGCAGTTTTTATTTTAATGAGCTCAGTTTATAAATTTTCATTGCAGTGGAAGGTGGTGTAATGCGGTGGTAAGGTTGGTATTTCGATACCTTTTCTTATATTGACATGAGAATATATTGCCTATACAGAATTCCACACTGCAGTGAGTGGCAAAGCAGAGAAATTTTTAGACTCTTCCTCATGTTCATTTTTAAGTCCTATAAGTAGACCAGTAAAGTATCTTGGATACCAGAATTATTATACATAAGAAATCTATTAAAATCTTGAGTAAATGAGGAAATTAAAAATGAACTGATTCTAAAAACTCACTGGTTTGCCACTATGACTGAATGATGGCAGAAGGGTAAACCAGAAATATTTTATAATCAGTTCTTTAGAATTTCCTCATCTAATTAAGATTTAAACCAGTCTCTTATGTATGATGAGGCTAAATCCATGATATTTTCCTGATATATACATCATAGGAGTATAGGACTCAAAATGAATTTGGGGAAAGCTCCTAAAAACTAAAAAAGTCTGTTTTATCACTATCTTTCTCAGGGAAGTGCAGATGAGTGATATATCCAGATGAGCATTCTAATTCCATTTGCCCAGAATTGCCAGAAAAAATTGACGGGTTTGTTTACGTTTCTCGATCTACGTGACGTAACAAGAAAGCTGAACTGAAAGGCGGAACTTCTCGTGGGTCAACCTTATATAGTTCAACCATGAGTGTAAACGCTGAGGCGTGTTGGTGTTGCACACGCGTTCTACCCGGCGTGCTGTACAGTTGTTTTACCATCCAATGTTGTGTGAACTGACGAATTCATCGCTGATGGTCGACGTGATGGCTAGGTTGACTTTTCGTTGTTGTGATCTAGACAAACACTTCATGACATGCCACATACACAGTTTCCCAGATGTCAAATACTGAATCACTTTATCCAATAGATTTTGATGTTCGTATCCATTCATGTGGCGTACGCATCATTAGTAAATGTTCTAATACCAAACTTCACTAATTTCTTCACTTTTTATTACGATGTATCAAACTCTATACACTTAAATATGACGAACTCATGACCACATTAGTCATCCCTGTCAAGAATTATTCCTAATGACAACAGCAGAAAATTTAGTTTTAGAAAGGATTTGTGGCGTGGTGTCTCTGAGAAAATGACATTTCAGAATCAGCTGGCCTATACTTTCAAAAACAGTTAAGAGATCGTAAGTTCATCAGCCAATCATTGACGGCCTATCGAGCAAAATCCACCAATCATAGACAAAAAATAGGTCGTAAGTACTTACGTTCACTTAGCGAGTTTTGAAATTCTGGCCCCACTGTGGCAGGCCTTTGCAACGGCCATCAGCCACGCATCACATATTCATTTGTTAGTAGGCAGGAAGGGAGACCAAGCCAGGTGGAAGCGACGTTAAATGAGAAGCTAGAGGGGTCTGAAAGTTTGTGTTAAGGGCGAGATGAAAACAAGGGGAAGAGAAATTCAAGAGGAAATTCATTTGGTTTATAATTGCTATATGATATCCCAATTATTGCACTGTATAGTTTACATTGATATTAGCTATGGGGCCTCATAGGCCCTGAATGACTATTTTTGTTATATTAAATTATTATAGTTTGGTTATTATAATTTTATTATTGCTTTTTCCTTACACACCACTGGCCTCCACTCTTATCAACCTCCGCCTCTCCCTCACCCTCCATACACTCTCCAAAAATCGCTTACCACTCTCAGTCATAGCAGCAGTCACCCCCGTTGACAGGTCCACTATCATTGCAATCCATTTCGTCTCCTGTTCGCTCATACATCACACCATCACTCTCATCCTTCTCATTCAGTATCACTCTCATCATTTCCAGTCTCTCCCGCTCATATGCATCACACTCCATCATCAGATGCTCCACAGTTTCCCCCTCACCTCTGTCACACATAAAACAAATATCCTCTCTTCTTTCATTCCACCTGTATGTCCGTGTATTCACACTCAAAGCATTTGCTTACACACAGAACTTTAAGTTTCCACCTCTACTTCCATCATAAGTCTCTACTCTACCTCTACATCATCATTCCATGGCCCAGTGGTTACATTTCAGAGTACCAGGATTGTCACAGGGAGGCGCGGGTTCGATCCCAGCTCTGTGCGCCAGTTTCTGGTCAGAATTGGCGAGGAGGCCGGGCGTTTAAGCAAACTAAAATTAAAGCAGTGAGTTGCGAGTTCAAGCCCGCAACAAGCTGTGGATGTTCTGCAATGTTAAGAATCGGCGACAGGCCTACGGCCTAATAAACGCTGAAACCGCTATTATTATTATTATTATTAACATTATTATTATTATTATATATACTCATACTTTGGCATCTTCTTCATCTCGTACAATCTCAGGCTGTCCTTTCTTTCCATTCCTTGCTTCCATACTCTTAGACCACTCAATTTCACTCACTTTTCTATTTCTTTCTTCCATTCTTTGACATACCATTCGATCCCTGTTGCACCCTGTGCTGTTATCATCCATTCCTCTCTTGGTCTATTATTCCCAGGGCGAGCCCGTGTTTGATGTAACTCACACTTTCGGACTATTGCACAGAGGTGGGCAGTAGCGCGCTACATGTAGCAGCCGCTACATTTTCAGTAGTGGTAGCGGTAGCGGCGCTACATTTAAGCAATTGTAGCGGTAGCGGTAGCGCCCGCTACATGTTCAAGTAGCGATTCGGGGTTTTGCCGCTACAGCGCTACCGCTACATTTATAGCTGAAGCCTTTAGATTTTACTTAATATTATTAAATATTATTTAAAAACCATCATGATACTTACATAATATATATTACAGAATAAAACTGTACGAATGATTTCGGTGTAATGTTGTCAACCTCAGCCTGTTACTAGTGTCAACATGTTAGCTGTTCCCAGAAGTGGGCAGTATCACGCTACATTTTCAGTAGCGGTAGCGGCGCTACATTTAAGCAATTGTAGCGGTAGCATCCGCTACATTTCAAAGTAGCGCTGCACAGCTCTGCTATTGCATGACACTTACGCTCCCATTTGCTCACTCTCAAGTTCCACAGGTACACCTTACGTGCCCAGCGTACATCATCCATTCTTTCCAGTCGTACTTTATATCTCAATGCTGCTCTCATTCTTCTCTCTCTAAACGTACTCCATCCCATATCTCCTCTTAAAGCCTCCACTGCAGTCCATCTAGGGGCTCCAAGAGCCAGTCGAGCTATCCTATTCTGTATAACCTCCAATTTATCCAATTCACCATCATTCCATGCAATAACGTCCATTCCATACATAATCCCAGGCACTGCTACACTTTTCCATACTTCTCTTAGAACGTCATATTTACTTGCTCTCACTTTTGCTGCAGTATCCAGTATTCCTAACCACTGATTTGCTTTACTAAGACTCAGCGCTTTAGTTCTCTCACATCCTCTTTGGTCAACACTCATTCCCGAGTATCTGTAGTCATTTGTCATCCCAATCACATTTCCTCCCAGCTGCCACACTCTATCCACATCATCAGCTGTTCCATTCACAACTAGCACAGTGAGCGAGTGCTTTTTGTGTTAAATTTCAAACTTGTTTTTTTTAAACGTCTGGGTAGATTTTCTTTTGAAATTTCGATTCCCAACCAAAAAATTTTTCTCGGATCAAATTTACCAGTTTTTTAGAATCAGTTTTTTCAGTTTTTTTTAAACTGATTTTTTAGAATCAATTCATTTTTAATTTCTTCATTTACTCAAGATTTAAACCACTTTCTTATGTAAGATAATTCTAGTATCCAGGATACTTTGCTGCTCAACCTATAGGACTCAAAAATGAACTTGAGAGAGAGTCTAAAAAACTGAGCAGTAGCACCTGACTCTGCTCTGGGCTAAAGCGCACATTGAAATCCTTGTCATACCAGTGATGAAATATAGCGATCAAAAATGGATTCTTTAACAATTTCAAGTCACAATGTGAACACTTAAGTCAAAATACCGTGTTTCTTGACACTCGTTGTCAAGGGATTTTTTAACTTCTCGCTTCGAGTCACCGACATGTGGAACAGCCTCCCTGATAGCATCGTTGACGCTCCGAGTATGAACGCCTTCAAGAACAGACTAGACGAAGCTATGCAGGAGCATATGTTCAGTCTTAAAATGCCTAGCAAATTACGAACCAGGCAATAAGTCCAGCAGCAATCTCAATCAATCGTCAGCAATGGAAAGATCGGGTTCCAAAGGCCGGATCCCTTGTGAATCAAGTCACGAAAAGTTCAAGAATCGGCAACAGGCCATGGGCCTATTTCTTCAACGCCGACACTTCTATTCTATTCTAATACCTCGCTGTCCTGCAACTCTCGTCAGGACTTCTGGCCTGCAACACCTCGCTATCCTGCAACTCTCATTTTCGATTGTTCTGCTGCTTTTCTTAAAATTTACTCAAGTTTGAAGATTAGCATCGAAATTCTGGAGATTTGATGTAGCAGGATTTGGAATAGCCAGATTCTCAAACTTCGTAGAATGTCTATACCAGGCAACGACAGGTTAAGCTGCTACAAATAAAAAATTAAGATTTCAGCGACAAAGCACAATCTAGAAACGAGGACCCTATATTAGCAATAGGCTTTGGTTACAGCAGGCATCCAGACGGCGACAAATGTGTTGGTCGTGAGCGCAACAGGAGGGCAACCGCTCGGTTAAACGGGTTGGACACAATCTCGTTCCCGACCATCTGGTGGTTGAGAACGATAGTGCCGCCTAGTTTCACTGGTGGAATAACAGTCGTCATAGGTATGGGGTACATTTTATTTCAAGTGCAAGAAACGAAATCAAGCAATCAGTCTTAAAGCGGTGAAATTAGGCTCAAATTGACTCAGATTTATGAACAAGCCATTTTCAGGAAATAAGCAACTTATAAAAATAGAAAATTCTATAACTTATGACATCATTACAATGGGGGTTACGTTTACTAATCTTATTCTGTAAATTCTACCAAACCGAATTTAAAAGGTATGTTGACACCAACGAAAAATATCAAATTCAGTGAACCAAAGCCATTGCAAGATTTGAACGATTACTGAATTACTGATAAAGTAAATATATACAACGACAAAAGAGTATTCTGTTGTCAGAAAAACCGTCTGCAGAGTGAAACCGCCAGTTAGCAAACCTGGCAATAACAGCAACACTGTTATCCCTGGGAGCATGACTGCCACTCTCACAACACTGACGCCTGCCAGCCCCTCAAGAAGACTTCAAGAAAAATGGCTGCTGATATTACAATAAAGTAGCATTCATGCCCCACCAACAAGCAAAAAGCAATAGCTCTCCATAACCATAAAAAGTTTGCTTCTCTTAAGCAAAACAAAATCTAGCTCATGCAATATTTTTAAAACATTTTGTCGTGCACCGACATGTATATAACAACCACTATATGTATTTAAACTCCTGTTTCTGTGTACATGACCTTCCTTATTCAAATATGTTACAACTGCAAAGACTGAGCACCCGCTGTGTCATCTTAGCTTTGTTATTCTATTTCATATCCACGCCGTAACAAGCGACGGTCTCCTTCAAGGGACATTGAACTGCAAAGGAACCTCTTCCTTGATGACAGTGGGTGCCTTAGGTTAGGGACTCTACAATCTACATAGCTTGGTCCTGTTGTCTCAAAAGATCAAATGTTCTGTACTTGATTCCTGTATCAAGCTTACAACATTCACATGCATCCTCACACCTGGGTCACTGGAGCTGTTTCTGATGGCCTGAGAGCAGATGCTGTTCAAACATGCATTGTCGACCCACATATCATCACACTTGGAGCACAGATGGGTCTTTTTCTGTTGAATGCCTGCGTAGAAAATGTGTTTTCAAGTTTCCTTTCATGGCACAAGCATAATCACACTTCGAGCACTGAAAAGGTTTTTCTGTTGAATGCTTAGAAAGAATATGACTTTTCAAGTCACCTTTTCTGGTGCTAGCATAATTACACTCAGAGCACTGAAAAGGTTTTTCTATTGAATGCTTGCAAAGAAAATGACTTTTCAAGCTTCCTTTACTGGCACAAGCATAATCACACTTCGAGCACTGAAAAGGTTTTTCTATTGAATGTTTGGAAAGAAAATGTTTTTTCAAGTCACTTTTTTTGATGCAAGCATAATCACACTCAGAGCATTGTACATGTTTTTCTGTTGAATGTTTGTGAATAAAATGACTTTTCAAGTCCCCCTTTGTGGTGCAAGCATAATTACACTCGGAGCACTGAAATGGTTTTTCAGTTGAATGCTTGTAAAGAAAATGTCTTTTCAAGTTTTCTTTTCTGGCACAAGCATAATCACACTCTGAGCACTGAAAAGATTTTTCAGTGGAATGCTTGCAAAGAATATGACTTTTCAAGTGTTCTTTTCNCTTGTGAAGAAAATGTTTTTTCAGGTTTCCTTTTAAGGCGCAAGCATAATTGCACTTGGAGCACTGAAAAGGTTTTTCTGTTGAATGCTTCTGAAGAAAATGTCTTTTCAAGTTTTCTTTTCTGGCACAAGCATATTCACAATCGGAGCACTGAAAAGGTTTTTCTGTTGAAGTCTTCTGAAGAAAAAGACTTTTCAAGCTTCCTTTTGTGGTGTAAGCATAAACACATTTCTGCATGATTCCATTGCATTCATCAGCAGGTTTACTCCGAGAATGTTTCTGTGCATTTCTTGGAGAATGCTTCAAGAAAATATTTTGTTGGTGATCAACTTCATTGGCACGCAAATTCAAACAGGATCGGCTTTGGTGTTCACTTTCGGACAAAGGTTTTGATCTAATATGCTTTTGCAATGATTCATTTGTGGTACAGGATTGTTTACAGTCTGGGAACCTGTAGGATGTTTCTATTGAATGCAAAGCATAATTGTGCTGCTGTAGACCACTCCCTGAACTAGACGAGTCTTCAGAGCAGCGGTGGGGTCCTGAAGCAGGATGTTCCAGATCAATGTTCTGCTGTAGTCCACTCCCTGAACTAGAGGGGTATTCAGAGCAGGGGTGGGGTCCTGAAGCAGAATGTTCTGAATCAATGTGCTGCTGTAGTTCACTTGCACCTGCAGACACCAATCCATTCTGGGGACATCCAATCCTAATGTGTTGCTGGGAGCAGGACGCCACAGAGACGTCAGCGTCGTCATCAGCGTCTCCTGATGCCGATGCTGACCCACCTTGGCCAAACTAATGATAAAAATACAAAGTAAAACAATCTCTCATGTTACTAACAGCTATAGTACAGCATATTAATAACAGCTACATTAAAGCATATTAATAACAGCTACAGTACAAGTACAGCATATTAATAACAGCTACGTTATTTCATTAATATTAATTTTAAATTTGGAAATTTATTTCCAGTAGGGCTACGGTTTTGCCAATGTCACTTTGACAGAACTTTTTTCAATCACCAAAACCTGGAAACCTCAAGCACCAAATTGACAACCACCCTCATAATACCACGAACATCCCAGTACTGCTGCCACTCTCAAGTCAAAATATATAACTTAACTTCTTCTGGCTGAAAACAACCTAAAATGTTTCATGCCATGTTCCCTTTCACCGCCCACAAAAAATTGCCACAGCTCAAACCTCAAAAAAGCAATAACATACCAAAAGCCCTCTTAGGAACTTGTATGGACATGACGAGGACTACCTGTACTACGAACCTACTAAACCATATGTTCTCCCACGATTGACAGCTTGTCCAATATGGACCCCTATCACTTTTTCAACAAATCGACACCTACAAATAGTTCAAAATGTCAAATTGCACGCAATAACTGATTGACACAACAAAACACAGCATACAAGATCTTCACTCTGAATATCAAATCCTTGATCCATGCTTAGGAGAAATCAAGTGGACTGCCATCTATTTCAAAAAATATAAAATCATTAGATTTCACAAGCTGGATTGATATGTACAGGGAAAATGGCATGTGTACCTAGTATCTCTAATACTATTTCATACAATACTGTCCATTTTATTTTATACAATACTATCAACAATAAAAAGAAACAATGGTGATGAAAAAAGACTTGGGAGTACCTCTAAAAAATTTATTGTTCAATGTAAATTTGAGAAATCTTAAATTACCTATGCATACCTGATTTGGAAACGGAGCAGGAATGTTCAGTGAAGAGTTTGGGTAGGCATCATGTACCTCAACTTGAGCTTCCATCTTGCATGGCACACAAGAGGAGAGTGCAGGTGCAGGGCTGAGATGTGCAGTGGAACAAGCCTGGGGGATGTGGAGGACAATGTTGATGTGGCTGGCTGTGATGTGTGCATTTTATAAGGAAAAATTTAGTATTTGACTCTTGTGACTTTCTGGGAAAAGTGGAGATGTGGCTGGCAATGATGTGTGCATTACACAAATAAAGATATAGTATGTGACTCTTGTGACTTTTTCTGAGAGAAGTGGAGGACAATGTTGATGTGGCTGGCAGTGATGTGTGCATCTTATGAGAAATGAAACAATATAGGACTCTTATATAATTCCCTGCAAGTTCCTATTTTCTCAACAGTAAATTACAAATTACTGGTTTTAAGTGACATCTCATATCAGTGCTTCACAATGCAAAAATTCCACTGGCCAGTTTTCAACTTAAAATGGATATATATAGATAAGAGGCCATTTCAGAAGCATATGCACATATTTATTAAGTATTTTTAATCAAATTGTCATTAATATAAGTTGCTGGCTTCTTTTTATTTGTATTGTACTGGCGTTGCATCACTAGAGTTAATAACTTATATCAATTGTCGCGAATGTTCTCCAGTGCTATTCTTTGCTCTATTTGTTTATGCGTATTTATTGATAAGCAATGGAGGAGAATTAGAACAAGAAAATTTGGACAGTTCGGCATGGTTCCTGCCAATAGCAGTCATCGCTTTTCACTTTCATTTGACAACAGACAACTAATGAGAAAAAGTTTAAGAGTTTGAGTTCAGAATAACCAACCTAATTAAAGTAATAAATCAAATTTTCATAATTTTCAAACAATTATTGAACAAAGATGAGTGTGAATCATACCTTATTATTATTGCTCAATATTTCAGACTTACTATTTGGTTAAGATTAGTATCCTGATGCCTAATTTGAAGACTTGGTTAAAGAACTAGCACTTTGCTTATTTTTTTCATGAAATTTTATGCAGGAATTTTAAATGCTGTGCTAAACATTTATTTGCGCATCAACTCCACCTACCTCATTTCCATATAAGAATGGTTCCTCTTTGATGGATACTTCTTCAGTTTCATCCTCAGGTTCCTCCTTGATGGAGATAGCAGGAACTTTGAGGGCTGGTGGAGGATCAACTTTTTCCAGGGCTGGAAAATATATACATTGGTGTACTGGTACCCTGGGCTATGGAGCAAGATATCTCATAGTAAATATAATGCTCACTAAATTAATGAGTCATGTGAGCTTTAGACAAAAAGTTAATATCACTCAGATGAGTGAGACTCATGAGGTGGCATATTCCAACACAATGTTATCAAATCTTGTATTGAAACTTGTAAAAAATTAATAGGAATAAGAATTAATTAAGATAATTTGACATGACCTCAGTTCCTCCCCTGCACAATAACAATTGATCAGTCAGCATAGTGGCAAATGAGATTTTTAAAAATTATTTTGTTTATAATTACCTGATCTACTTCAAATTTTATTCAATATTTATGCATGATAATACTGGTATCCATGATACTTTACTATTCTACTAATAGGACTCAATCCACTCAGAAAAAAAGTCCTTAAAAGTCTCTACTTTGCCATTATTTATTTGTGAGGCACATGGAATCTGGCTTACCTTCAGACTTTACTTTGCTGCCACCAGGAGACGCTTGAGTGAGGCTCAGCTCAGGGCATCTGCCACTCCTGACTGCAGCATCGGAGAGTTGGTGCAGAGCAACACTGCATTTCTTGGTAATGGGCGCCATCATCAAATTTGATGCTAGTTATAAATCAATGAGAATGAATTTTTTATTCTATATTGTTGGCAGAAACGGCAGTAACACTGCAGGGATACAGAGGGAATTGTACAGAGTGCAATAGAGGCTCATAATGTAGTGGTGTGGCTTGTGTATCATTATACAGCTTGCTGCACCATGCATTCTTTCCACTCACCTGTGTTCTCTCTTTCCAGACTCATGAATGTAAATCACTATCAGATAGATCTTTTGAGTCAGTGCATGTATTTGTGCCAGCCTTATGCTTATCTCTGTGCCGTGGTTGATGGAATTGATGCAAGTTTACCAGACATTTGAGCTTTGATGCTGCGACGTGCCCTGCCTGATCCTGCTACTTGCTGATTGCCTGCCTACTTTGTCCCCTTTATGGGTGAGTAGTGGCATTTGCCTGAACCTGGTTTTAATGCTCCTACTCTTTTATATATTCACCTATTTGTGTTCCATTTTTTAATTGCGTCATGTGTGCCAATATATTTATTGTGTTATATTTTATTATGTTACAAACTTGTATATCTGCCGCTTGCTCTCCTGTTGTGCACTAAAGCCAATTCCTGCATTTCGTTCACTTATAGGGCATCAAGAGTTGAGTCTAGAAAAACCTGGGAATTAAACTGGATACAAGGGCACCCTTCACCACGACTCCAGTGCAGCAAGACAGCAAATGAAATTGGATTGCTCCTTGTGGTGGGCTGTTGACGAGCACTGAGAAGACAGTGATTCATTTGAGTAACCTGCCTCAACCTTAGTGGAGCACAATGAGAAGTGACTTGCTGGCCCACTGGGTGGACACTTTAGCCAGCCTTAGGAGTGCTTTCCATTTATATGGTTCCCCAATGCACCCCCGAGCAGGATTTCTCAAAGTAACTGATTTCTACATCGTCTGAAATTATTGTGCCAGTGCAAATATGTTTTTATCGTGACGTTCTAGTAAAAACAGTTTTAGATAGTAATTAGGAATTTATTTTATTGCCTGACCATGCGTTTGCTATTTGTAACTTGTGTGAGGTCAGCCCATATGAGTGGCCTTGGTTAACTGGTTCTCTTGTTTTAGTGATTAGGACTTGCAATTTGCTAGTTGCAACAAGGACTGAGGGCCTGGTGATTTCATGAGATTTCTGCTGTGATTTTATAGAGCAAGCCCCACCTGCTGGTGTGACTTGCTGCTTCCATACCATCATAACACTACTAACCCCATTTCATTCTGCACTAACTGCAGGTGTCTATGTTTAGTTGGTTGTATGCTGGCTTCAGTGTTTCATAATATATTTCCCTAAGCTGTGCCCAGTTGGTTTCAGTAGCCTTACATGCCAGTCGTGTCCACAGCTGAACCATACCTCTTTAATATAAATATTAAACTTACCAGGACCGAACGCCTCCCCTAACAATAAGTAGGCTTTTATTTAAACATATGCAACAAAATTAATATGACCCAGGTTACTTAAGCACACAACTGATTGTTTGATGCCTGCATCAACAATATTTGACGCAGACAACTTAGCTATGTTTGAATGTGGCATTTATAATAAAAATTTAAAACGTCATGAAATAATTGTGATAGTCCACATTCTTTTTTATTTACAAGATAACATACCAAGAGCATTGATAACATTCCAAAACTCAGAGCCAGACCAAGTGGATAAAATCCAGACCCAGACCAGTCCCCCTACCGGTATATAGAAAAATTATAGATTGCAAACCATTTGAAACATCAGGAAACCTTGAAATTTTGAACAACAAAGTTTAAAAAATTTCATCCCATTAGCACATAAGGATTTTGGAATAGTCCAATTTTTTATCAAATTTATCAATAGAGAATTGCCTGTACCTTCTAGAAAACATGAAACATTTCTACTGAATTTATGTATATTCACTTCAAAAATACCATGTAAGGTCCTGTGGACCCCAGACCAGTCAGACGCTTGAAGACTCTTGTATTTAGGACTTCAGGTTGCAGAAAAGTGCATTTTTAGATCAAAATATTCAATTCAGTCACGAATACGAATTTCGTGATCAGCCGCCGCAACGCGCAGCGCTTCGTGCACGCCTTGTTCCCCCCCGACCCCGACGCCCTCCGCCAGGTATCATATATGATTATTAATATCATACATAATATATTTATAATAATAAATAAATATAAATAATATAACATAGAATTGACGATTAATGTATAATAAAAATAATCATGATTACAATTAAAATAATAGTAGATTCTCTTGGAACCCAACGGCGCAGCAGGGCTTTGATGACGACCTTGACTTAATCATCTTTAATACTAATAATATAATAAATAATAATAATATCATAAATAAATAATTAAACCAACAATAATAATAAAAAAATCTGCAGGTCTGTCAGGCTTTGATGACACCCTTGACTTAATCATCTTTAATAGTACTGTCAGTGTTCTTTTATTAAGCTCTGCCTGAGAATCGGGATACGTGACTAAGGTCGTGAAGGATAAGTAAGACACACATGTCTAGATAACATATCTTTATATACGGGGTTGTTATATATTAATAAGATACAGAGGTATAAGCTACGGCGTCGACCGTAAGGTCGGAGAACCCATTAACACTAATCAGAACCTAATAAATAAATAAACCAACTAATAAGCGCTACATCGCGGAGCGCATATCAATTACTGCGGGGGGCCTTACTTAAGATTGATAGACATTATATAGCCTTCAGCTTCCGCCCACCGGATTCTTGTCCTCATGACACATGCTGTATAGGCTGGCGTCTAAAGGCAAGGTCTCAGTGACACAGCGGGCTCAATAGCTAACTAGGTCTGCTGGTAAACACATGAGGATTTATATGTACAAACGACTCTCGGACAGTATTAACCATATAAATAATTATAATATCATAAATAAATAATTAAATAAAAATAAACAATACAAAATCTGCAGGTCTGCCAGCAGGGCTTCGATGACGCACTCGACTTCCTGCAGAAGAACGGCCTCGTGTCCTGCCCCAGGTGCTCGGAGATCCTCACGCTGGCGAGCCAGTCTAGTTTCCGAGGGTCAAATGACATCCAAAGTGAGGGCAAAGGTGTAGAAAATGAGGTTAATGTCCTCGGAAATGGTGTAGAAAAATGGTCAAATGGCGTAGACAATGAGAGAGATTGTGTCGGAAAGTACCCCAACCATTCCCAATATGAGGGCAAAGACATCCAATATGAGGGCAATGGCAACCAATATAAGGGTAATGCCCTCAAAGAGGACAGGAATTGCCCTCATGACGTCAAAAAGACTTCAGAAATTGTTGAAACCTGGTCACAAAATCTTGGGCTATTCAGTGTCAACCGCATTGGTAAAAAAGTTATTTTTGAAGTTGGAAATGAGAGTGAGTCCAGTGGCCAAGAAGTTTCCGATGAAGAACCTGGAAATTGCGGTTTTACAGTAGAAATAAGTGGATATCGGATGGATTTAAACCGCGAAATTGTGGATCGCAGTCCCTTCAGAAGCTCCAACCAAGGTGGCAACAAAAACGAAACTGATTTGGTCATCCAAACACGGAAACTGGACACCATCCGTGAAAAAAGGTCCTACGGCTCCCACGGGGACCATGGGACCCACGAGACCCAAGAAGCCCAAGGGTCCTACGGGACTCAAGAAGCCCATGAGACCCACGGGGCCCAAGAAGCCCATGAGACCCACGGGATCCATGAAGCCCACGGGTCCAACGGGACCCAAGAAGCCCATGGGACCCACGGGGCTGACGGAGCCCGCGGGACTCACAATACCCACGGGACCCATGGGCTCCACCTCAATAATAAGGTCGACATGTGGGCGACAAGCAGCACGGTGGGCGGCGCCTCTGGTCACTACTGCGAGGACTTGAGGGTTGCCCACGCCCTTCGTAGGACGCCGTCCCTGCTGGGGGTGACGCTGAGCCAGAGCGTGTGCAGGATGAAGTGCTATAACTGCGCCGCCTGTAGGAGGAAACTGCAGGTAATTATTGCTGTGCACTCATGAAAATGAACGAGGCTTTGTCCAAGTATCGATGCACTTCTTGCCCAGTTTTGCCCGGCCAAAGGGCGTACAAGTGCTAAACGGAGAAATTGTGTCACTATTTTTGGATAATATGACCCATTAATTAATTAATATAGCATAATATAATATAATAATATAATATAGTATAATATAATATAATATAATATAATATGACATACTCTCCCTCAGGAGGCGCTGCTGTCACAGCACATGGACGCCGCCATGAGCGTCGCTCCCTCTGTACTGGAACTCCCCCTGCACCTGCTCACCCTCCCGCTCCTCCCCTTCACTCGGTCCCTGGGGCTGCCTTTCATGTTGCTCAAAAGGTGACCAATTTAAGTTTATTATCGTTTCGAATCTATTTTCCAAAAATTTTTAAATCTATTTTCCAAATTCCAAAAAATAAATTTTCAAATGATATAATCTCTCATTACAATAAATGTTATTTGTCAGTCAATTAAATAATGAATGAATGCAATTTCGATGTGATTGAAATTGATAAGCTTGTAGCGATCGCGGAAATGATTGAGCTACCCCGCAAGCCATTTACATTGTTAAATTTCCAGCTGTTCAGTTAAGGTACCCATACTGTCACGAGCTCATTTTAGTATAAGCTCTACCTGAGGATCGGGTTCGTTGACTAAGGTAGTGAGGGATAAGTTAGATATCTGTCTAGATAACATATCTTATATCTCATATACGGGGTGGTTATACAAGAGGGCCGATACAGAGGTAAAAGCCGTAATAAGGCGTCGATTGCAAGGTCGGAGAACTCTACCGACACGCTACATCGCGGAGCGGCGCTTATCAGCTACTGCGAGGGCCTTATATACTTAAGGTTGCTAGCCCTTATATAGGCTTCGCTTCCGCCCACTACAAAGGTCTTGATCGCGTGATCTATCACGTGTCTTCCAGATGCTGACTCATGTTATCAATCTCTATCGATTAAGTGAATATTACGTCTCAATTACATACAATAATAATGATTATAATGAGACGCCAGATTGACACCAGAATATACAAATGGTTTGCATCTCTCATAGAAATGCGTGTACCTTTGTCCAAATAACAATACACCTATTGCCATAGTATGGGTCATTAGGATCCAGTTTTATTCCAGACTAAAGGGCGCGTCAGTGCTACGTTTTCTGCTCGTGTTGTGGGAAAGAAAGTGTGTCACTATTTTGACAATATGACCTGCTCATTTCTATAGGTGGTACTCTCCGCTAGCATTCCAAGCATAGCAAGCGATAGGTTTCTAATGGCTGTTAATGGCTGCTAATGGTTGCTAATGGTCTCTTAATGGTTTCTAATGGTATGTTAATGGCTGCTAATGGTTGCTAATAGTCTCTTAATGATTGTTAATGGTTTCTAATGGTCTATTAATGGTTTCTAATGGTATTGTTACGGCAGGATGCTGCAGTTGCTGCCCCTGTGCACGCTGGTGAGGCTCTACAGATACACGACGGGGGCAGCAGTTGTGGTCGCTTCGGCTCTGGCGGGCCAACGGAAATCAATGGAAATAATGGAACCAATGGAGTCTATGGAAGAAATGGAGTCAATGGAACAAATGGAGTCAATGGGAAATAATGGACCTGGCCATAATTTTTGTTCACCTAAGCCGCAAGAAATGTTGGCGGATGCGGAAAAGAAATTCTGCCGCGGCAGAAGGAATCGAACCCGCGAACTGGTAAAAAGGAGGGTAAATTTCGGGCATCCTGTGGGATTTGAAGCCGAGGAGCTCCAAAACTTGGGAATTGTGAAATACCGCCAAGAATTATGCGGAATCCTGCCAATGGATAGCGTGAGACTCCAGGATCTGATAGAGGAGAGTCCTTTGACGAGGTATTTTGCTGAGGGTCACATGACTGAATGCTGGTTGCTGGACAGACTTGCGAGCATTTACCCTGAAGCATAAATAAATTTTACCCTGAATCTCGAATAGCTTGTACCCTGAATCTTGAATAGCTTCCACCCTGTATTTTGAAAAACTTCTACCCTGAATCTTGAATAGCTTGTGCCCTGAACCTTGAATCGCTTTTATCATGAATTTTGGATAACGTTTATCTTGAATTACAATCTTGAATTTCAGCTACCCTGATTCTTGGATTATTGAAATGTAGTTACCCCGATTCTTAAATAGTTTTCCCTGAGTTGAAATAGTAAGATTATTTAATGCGATTCGAATAGTCTGATTTTTTTCACGACTCGAAATAGTTTTAATACCATTCTGGAATAATTAATATACTGAATACAAGTAAAATTTACCCTGATTCGAAATATTGCGGGTATTTGCACTGATTCTTGAATAGTTAAGAGGGGTTAAGGGTTAAGGGATTCGTAATCCGGGGCCAATGTTGGAGTTCGAGATCCGGGGCTATACTTTCAAAATCGCTAAGTGAACGTAAGTACTTACGCTCTATTTTCTTGTCTATGATTGGTGGATTTTGCTTGAAAGGCCGTCAATGATTGGCTGATGAACTTACGAAGTCTTAACTTTTTTGAAAGCATAGGCCCGCCGGGGCCAATGTCTGGATTCGAGATCGTGGGCCAATGTCGGTGATCGAGACTTGGGGCCAACGTCGAGGCTCAAGTTCCGGGGCTTGTGTCTCGGTTCGATATTATGGAAATTTTAATTTTGTTTTAATTTCAGAACATGCAAGTTTGCCATTGTATATCATTGTGTGATGATTACACCAAAGTTCAGCGGCCTAATGCGCAATTTTTGAATTGCCTGAATATTGTGAAGGTGTTTAATTGCGAGAAATATTTTAGGTACGGACGATATTTTATTGAGATTTGTGCTGGACAATTGTTCTCTATTAAGATTTATTCCAGGCTTACATGATATTTAATTAAGATTTATTCCAGGCATATACGATATCTATAGGATTTTTTCAGTTATATATTATATTTCATTGATATTCGTTAGGCATTTACTTTATTTTCTTATGATTTGTGCCGGGCTTACATGATAGTTTATTAAGATTTTCTTCAGGCATATACCATATTTTATTGAGATTTTTCCAGGCATATGTGATATTTTATTCGAATATGTTATGTTCAGCGAGGTTATAGGCATATACGATATTTAAATATAATAAAACATAAAATGCCTATGATTTCCTTTGCCTTTTACCTTGCAAACATTTTTTTACCCTTTTAAGCGCATTTTCTTATTTACGGAAAAAAATGCACTATTGTGCTCGTCATGTCCGTCCGTCTGTCTGTCCGTGACTTCACGTTCTCGTTGATTGTGAGAAATTTTCTAACGTATTGTAGGAAAACTGGACGTTAACATGTGTTGTCAAGAGGACTGAACGTTAACATGTGTTGTCAGGAGGCCTGGACGTTAATTTCTGTGTCATTCTGATCTGTCGCCTACTGGAAGAGGTAGGCGACAGATCTGGCGGACTTTCAGAACAAGAGAAACGGAACCGATGATCACACTCTTCAGAGCCCTTACAATACCTATCCTTGAATACTGATGCCAGCTCTGGACCCCGTTCACACTCTGCGCAGTTCGGCAACTGGAAGGTGTCCAACGAACCGTCACTGCCAGGATCAAAGGGATGGAGGAGTATAACTACTGGGAGAGGTTGGGGCAACTGGGTCTGTACTCACTGCAGAGGAGACGGGAGAGGTATGTCATTCTGTACACATGGAAGATATTAACCGGAATGGATCCGGTTAATATATTCAGGATTGAGACACATCACAACGAGAGAAGGGGGAGACTGTGCAAGGTCCCCCCATTACGTAACAGATCTGCATTCAGGTTTCAATCCCTGCGGGAAGGATCACTTTCCGTGGCCGGGCCGAGGTTGTTTAACGTCCTACCAAGGGATCTAAGAGAAGGGGAGTTCACCCTGGAGACCTTCAAGAGACAAATGGACGTTTTCCTGGGCACAGTCCCAGATCGACCTCCCCTGCAACACTACCAGCGACGAGAAGCAAGCAACAGCATCGTGCATCAGGTGGCCCAAATGAGGGCGGATGAACGATAATCAGAGGCGGCGATCCATCGTGGCCTGGGACTGCTATGTCCCAAACAAATACTAAGGAACTAAGGTGACAAATTAAGTGATAGTGCACGACATCACCATCGTGATAAATTAAGTGATGGTGCACGACATCACTATCGTGATAAGTTTAATTACGAATAACTGAGATATTTACGTGGCATGCAGAAGAGAGACATGCCTCAATATCAGAACCTAGTGAATATATTGAGTTTTAGGCCAGCAACAATGTCAGCATCATCGATCTTTCATATTCAGTTGCAAAATAAATTGAAGATGTAAAATAAAAATACATATCACAAATTGTGTGATACATCCACGTTACCTATAAAAAGCTTGTTGAGCTTCATCTACTCCAATTCGCATGTAACAAGCATTATAATTTATAATAAACTCATTTTACATCAATATAAATCCAGTTTGCCACCACATGTACCTAGTATTCCGTACTATAGTTCCTACGAGTAAGTTACTTCGCTCAAGAACTATTGACCGTTGTTTGCATTGACTCGGCTCTTGTACGTTCAAGACCTACAACTACTGTTCTCCTTGTAAGTATTCTGTAAATAGTTTCGTTATGTGTAAGACCTTCACATATGAATATATTCTTATTACGTTACCGTTTTCCTGTTTTATAGTAGTGTTATTTTGTTCCAGGATGTTGCGTTCTTGTTGCATAAAGCTCTTTTTGAGTTACCTCGGCTTTCGCTTACAACACAGTTCGGATGGTCTTGTCACGCCCACCAAGCACCAGCAATTTTAAGGCACTCCCCTATTGGCTTAATAAGCCAGTCTTCGTCTGCACCGATTGAAACTCCAATGACAAGCTCAAATTAATGTATTAAAGATAAGCAAATCATGGCAAAACAAAGCAAAACGAACAACCATCTCCTCAAACGGATGTGAAATTAGGAACCAATAAAACTAAAAAATCGGATATGAGAGCTTTATTAAGTAGTATGCGCGGCGAGAGAGCCAGAGCAAGATTTTGAGATTGAGCGCATGATCCCTGGCGTCGGAGTTACAAATAAGAGAGGGACCAGGGGCCGTATTATCAAAACTTCGTAAGTACGCAAAATCGACTTACGAGTGGCGTTGCTATGACAACCTAATACTAGCGGTGGTATTATAAAAACATTTGCGCGGGAAAAAAATTTAGGCTTTTAGCTAAGACTTGCGTACGAAAGTTTTGATAATGCCAAAATTAGGGTGTATTTACGTACCACAGAACTTTTTTGTCGTAAGTACAAAAAGTTACGAAGTTTTGATAATCCGGCCCCAGTCCGCCAGTCGGGATCAGCAGCTCAACTGACGGCTACTACAAATTCAACGACCACGTCAAAGCTGGTCGCGCTTATTCTTAGCGGCCTGGGCCTATACTTTCAAAAAAAGTTAAGAGATAGTAAGTTCATCAGCCAATCATTGACGGCCTCTAAAGTAAAATCCAAAAATCCACCAATCATAGACAAGAGAATAGAGCGTAAGTACTTACGTTCACTTAGCGAGTTTTGAAAGTATGGCCCCAGATTGTTAGTGGTGGGAAATTTGCATATTACTACATTACAAAACTCCCCCTCAGCCTCAAGATGGAAATTTCCCACTAGTGCCGTGAAAGAAACAGCGCACATCACTAATGAACTAACATCGGCAATACATGGATCTATAGTAACACAATAGAACTAACCTATCAACAGGTAAGAATTCTGAATAACTGTGGTCATCAAAAAACACAATCCATAAACTAAGCACTTGAATTCATTAAAAAACTACTCGACGGAGTATCATGACGACAGGTCGGCAAGGTAATTGTCTTTGCCTTTAACATATCTAAGCCGTGAATTTCTATTCTTATTCTGCTGAAGCCACTGTAATGGTGCATGATCTGTTTCAACTGTAAACTTACCACCATAAAAATGTTCAGAAAATTCAGCAATGGCCCAACGAATGGCTAAACATTCCTTTTCTACCAGTACAACTGAGTAATTATGTTCAGCGCTGTTCAACTTAAGACTAATAAATGAAATTGGTTTCACATCGCCCTGAATATGCTGACACACAAGACAGCACCTATACCGTAGTCTCATGCGTCTGTTTGCAAGACAGGACAGCCTGGTTTTGGGATTGTGAACGAAGCGTCGTCGGATACTAATTTTATAGCAGGGGGCTCCTGGTTTCCATGTCAGAATCTTGCAAAACTTACTCAGACAAGAGCGGCGCACAACCTTTTGTCTCATTGTCGTGTCTGCAACTAAAGTTTTTCGAGTTTAAACGAGTCGCATCGGCGGAATACAGGCCCTTACGGGAGTCGCAGTCTAAGTGTCATTATCTGACCAACAGCCACACTCACAACACAGCTTCCAGTATGTTCTCATGCTAATCTTCGAACACAATCTAGTTTGATGATTGTTCTGCTGATTATCTTCAAATTTATTCAAGTTTAAAGATTAGCAACGGAATTCTGGAGATTTGATGTAGCAGGATTTCGAATAGCCAGATTCTCAAACTTCCGGGAATGTCTATACCAGGCAACGCCAGGTTAAGCTGCTACAAATAAAAAATCAACATTTCAGCACCAAAGCAAAACCAAGAAACGAGGACCCTGTATTAGCACAATGCTTTGGTTACAGCAGGCATCCAGACGGCGACAAATGTGTTGGTCGTGAGCGCAGCAGGAGGACAACCGCTCGGTTAAACGGGTTGGACACAACCTCGTTCCCGACCATCTGGTGGTTGAGAACGATAGTGCCGCCTAGTTTCACTGGTGGAATAACAGCCGTCATAGGTATGGGGTACATTTTATNCACACGGTGCACTGAAAAGGTTTTTCTGTTGAATGCCTCTGAAGAAAATGTTTTTTCAAGTATCCTTTTGTGGTGCAAGCATAATCACACTCGGAGCACAGAAAAGGTTTTTCTGATGAATGCTTGAAAAGATGACTATTCAAGGCCCATTTTGTGGCGCAAGCATAATCACACTCAGAGCATTGTACAAGTTTTTCTGTTGAGTGTTTGAAAAGATTATGACTTTTCAAGGCCCCTTTTGTAATACAAGCATAATCACACTCAGTACACTGAAAAGGTTTTTCTGTTGAATGCTTCCGAAGAAAATGTATTTTCAAGTATCCTCTTGTGCCGCAAGCATAATCACACACGGTGCACTGAAAAGGTTTTTCTGTTGAATGCCTCTGAAGATAATGTTTTTTCAAATATCCTTTTGTGGTGCAAGCAGCATCATCAGCATATTTACTTGGAGAGCATGTCTGAAAATTTCTGAAGTTAACATGCTCTTGCATTGATTTTCCTGAGGTGCCCGATTGTTCACAGTCACGGAACTTGAATGATTTTTCTATGTGTTGCTTGGAGCTGGACGCCCCAGAGACGCCAGCGCGGCCAACAGCGTCTGAT